GTATGCTCCCACATTTTGAAAAATATAGATCACAAAACACTCGAAAAATTCATTAAATCACCAATGCGTACATGAGGATGCGTCGATTTTGTATGGGGGAAAATAAAAGGCATTTGGTGGTATTTTAATAGTAATACTATATTGTCTTAGATCTAAGCCAATAATAGCTGGCCACTAAGGATTAGTTTAAAACATATCCTAGCACGCGCAATTGATTCAAAGTGTATGAATTTTGAAAATGAAATTTTGGCTGGAATTTATTTATAAAATTAAAGGTTATTAGATTTAGTACCACTCGTTTCTAATTTTTCAATAAGAAACTTACAAAAACTATAATTTTCACGTATGAGTTTTAAAATTTTCAATACTTCTGTAACCAAGTGAAAAATTTAAAAAAGTAAGTTTTAAGCAAAAAACACAACCGACTTAAATTTTCTTAAAAAAATTAATTAATCACCGTTAATTTAATGGTGATCCAATGAACGTATCTAAACCAAATTAGTATGGGACCACCTCTGAGACACTACCTTTCCGATAGAGAGGGAATTATCGAAATCCGTTAACTAAATCGGTGGTCAAAAGTTATGCGGTAAATACATAAAAAAATAATAATACAAAAAAATATTCCGACCAATTGATAATCTTCTCCTTTTTTGGAAGTCGGTTAAAAAATGAGGCGAGATGAAGTTTAAACGTTTTTAGGTTTTCGGATATTTAAATAATATTTAAAGAACCATGGACTTCGTCAAGCCGATTTGGTCAGTTTTCAAAATCGTCCCAGACTAGGAATCGTTTAATAAGTCAAGCACAGACATACATACATTTACTAAATAAAAATAGGTTAAGCAACGCCTCCTTTAAGTCTGTTTATGCATTCACGAAAATTGGAGCTGAATGGTTTCATTAGTCACCGAAGAAGCACATGTTTCGCGGTTTCTAAATTAACCGTTATAGGAAAGTGGGGGACGCGAAATATGTATTTAGATATAAATATTTTAGTTAATTCCTTTATGTGAAAAAGTGACTGTAGGTAAATGCAATAGTCTCTCCAATTGGACATTATGGTTTTGAATTCGGCTTGACCCACAAAAAAGTCACTTCCTGGCACGCTTTTCTGCAATCGCTTTCTTATATTTTGAAGTTATTTATACAACTGAAGACAGATTTTTGTCGAAAAGTAACAGAGATGCATCTAATTTTTTCGGTATAACTTTGGCAAATATTACTCAATCGGTACCTAGTAAGACCAAATTGAAGGCGAGATTACTGTTAGTGATTTATGGTAATAATATGATGAAAAAAAAACAACAAAAATGTTGAACACAAAAAAAAAATTATTACAGGCTTATTGTTGACCAATATATAGATACACCAAGTGATTTGAGACAAATTAAATTTTCGATCCACCCTAGTGTATTTGTAAAATATTTTAATAATTAAATCTGTAGCTAAATATATCGAGCGCTAACCGCCAAAAAGGTGTAAGCGAATTTTTTTCAAATTTTCTTTCTGCACCAAAAATAAAATTTTGACAAAAATGTCGCTTACGATTTTCTGGCGGTTAGGGCTCGATATTATGGGACGCCTTTTACGTTTGGGTACACTTTTTGGTACACCAATCGTGAATTTGGTTCATTGAAGTATGTTAACTTACTTGCAGGGATTGATATTTTTTGCTTTTATTCAAATGCACTCATTTCTACATTCAATTACAATTGTGTTATTTTTTTTCTATTTTCGTTATATTTTATATATATATATTTTTTTTTTTTGTTGAAATTGGTTATTCTGGCAGAATACTTCTCAAATCGTTTTGTATTGGTATTGATCAAACAAATGTGACCAGAATAGCTTTGAACGGCACGAACAACATGCAATCACAAGTTGCCGCGCGCCATTAAAGTATGTAGTATGCTACCTACAACGATATTCATGCTTCTTGATTGACTTTCAAGTGAATTGTGGCATTTGGCGAACAGTACTTCCATTTAGACTATCTCACTAAATACGTACGTACTTCATTTTATGATAGATTTATATGCACATGCATACGAATTTAGAATTGTAATTGTAGGTTGTTAAAATATATTTTAGGAGCGTATGATTTTATACTCTTTAACTTTGTGTTCTTAGGGATTCCATTTCTTTTTTTATAGGAACTTAGTCTTGTTAAAATTATTCAAAATCTCCAAAATTTATTGCATAGTTAATTGCAGCAATTGCGTATATATAAGCTTCGAGAAAGTAATTATCGCTATGGCTTCGAGCTACAGAAGAATCATATATTATTTCTTCTTTACTTGCCGAAACTCATAAAATAGTCACGGAAATCATTTTAAATTTTAATAGAGACAGACTATTGGCACAAATTTACTTTCAGCAAATATCACGGCAATGTAAAATAGTCAATCAAATTTTTACTACTACCGATAACAAAAACTAGAAGTCATTGCTATTTAGCACTCAATCGGATATCAAATGAAAAGTTATTGCAACGAAATTTCATTGCCTATACACGCTTAGGATGAAAACTTACATACTTATATGTATACGAGTACATACCCCGCAGGACAGTTTGCGAGTTAAAGTATAACTTTGACTATTTGGAAACACTTCCAATTTGAGATACATATCTAGTTTGCAGTGGAAAGTTTCTGACACAATAATTGCAGAATGTTTCGCTAGGCTACACTAGACTTAAACGGTGGTCGCAGCAGCAGCGCTAGCGAAGCTACAATTTAGTGTTTCATAAATTTTCAATTTTCAAATCGGTTCGGATGCGAACTAGTCCACCACTGAAAAGTATTGCAGTAATGCGCTTATAGTAATTCACAATGTTAGATTCACAAGTTGTCTGCATTGAAAACAGAATTATGGTGATCCTGTCGGGGTTCAAATTCTATACAGTCGGATTTCTCTACAGGGGATGCGTGTATCAGTGCAATTGTGTACGTAAAGTGACGCATGCAATAAACCTAATCTGGCAAATAGATTGAAAATTTGCCACAAATAGAACAGAATGACAGGTCTAGAATTTTGAATAATAGGAAATGCATGCATATGTATGTACATTAAGGAGCCACACCAAAAAACAAAAGTTGCAGGTTTTCCAACGGAGGAATTCCGCCAAAACCTTTCGGGAAAATATTAATATTTACGTGAGATAAATCAATTTGAAAGTACCTTCAAAAATCTCAGTATTTTGATTTCGTAGATAAAATTAAAACAAATTATGCAAACCGTTTAAGCTTAAACCCTTTATCATCTGAAGTGATTAAAAAAAAATTTTTTAAGCTATATTTTTTTATGTATTTTCAAACCCGTCCAGGCCTCGTAAATCATAATATAATAATATATAAGGTTTTATAATTCGGATGGATTAACAGTTCCAATTTTCTTGTATGGAGAGTGATGCATCCTAATTACTTACTTATATTATAGTGGAGGAGTCGGTAAAATGTATATATTTGTGTATGTATGTGGAAATCTAATTTTCATGAAAATTCAATTATTGACACCGTACGCCTAGCAAAATATACGCACATATCCAAAGTTAACTGTGTACGTTGGGTAAAACACTTAAGTGATTTTAGAAATCTTAGTTTTAAATGGAAAAAGGTAGAACTTTTGTTAAAAAATTTTCTATTTTATTGAAGTTTTACTAAAATGGCTTCTCTGAATACAACAATTTTTAGGCTGAAGTTGAGAGACTGCATGAAAAGCAGACGATTTGTTGTTTAATGGAGAAAATTACAGGACTGGAGATGGGCTGTTTTGTCAAATGTTCACGGATTTGTACTCATATTTATGTATGTTCAAACAAAAATACAGTTATAAAATAATGCATATACATTTGTGAATATGTCTATCAAAACATACATATCTACCAGAAGCCCACTTAGCTAAGTGCAAACGCCATAAAACTGATATAAATGTAGAAACGAAACGAATGAATACATAAAAGTAATTATGCACGCACATACTACATACATCTGTTGACTTGAATGGATCAGGTTTTGAAAAAAAAAGAAACGAAAAAAAATTACCAAAAAATGGCAACTGATTGCTACAACGCCGTCGTATTTTATTTTGAATGGCTGCCGACATTAATCATTTCAAATGGGTTATTTTCGGCAACAGAAAGAAAACGAAAGCGAAACAAATATTCGCTAAAAAATTATGATAAATGACTCTGAATGTGCTCAAATGCTTGGAAATTCCTAATAAAAATATAAACATTTTGAAATGATAGCATTAAGCACAATATAAAAAATAGTTGTTTATTTCACGAAAAAACAATTAATGAAATGTTCAGATCAATTAGTAATTAAATAATCAAAGAAGACCATGATTTGGGCTTAAATAAATGAATGAAAAGTAATGTAAGTGTGATACCCGTCATGGAGTCAAAATATTACTGCTAATACAGAGAGCATAAATATGCATTTTTGGGTCATATGCATTGATACAATTTTCCAAGATTTCTGAAGGAATCTAAGAATTTCGAAGGGAAGGTAATAATAACCCAATCCAGCTCCGTTTCCCCATCCCTATTATACATGAACATATTCTTATATCTGATCCATTTAAACTAATTTTGGTTTAAATTTCTTGCCAAACCTTTTACTTGCTGATGTTATATTGGAGCCACATAATTGTTTTTTTATAGGCAACGTTTTTCGGGAGATCAATCCGATCAACTACTCCCTAAAGTCTCCGATCCATCAGCCGCTACCGGCAACATCCATTGCGTCTCTCATTTGAGAAGACAGCGGGTGCGTTTTCTATGAAAAAAGGGACACTTAGGGCCAATTTCAGATGAAAATTTAAACAGCACATAAGCTTAATTTTGGATTGTTATTTAAATGCCATTTAGATTTGGTTGGGTTTTAGACCAACTTTATTTCAATATGCCAAACAAGTGGCAACACTTTTGCTTGTTTCTAGGTTATGTGTAATTCAACAGTAACATTTTCATGTTCAATTCGCTTTCCGGTTCATTAATACGAAACCAATTTAATTTTAAAACTTGTTAAAAGTGGTTGACTTACCGGTCCATATTGTTCGAAGTAGCTTTTAACATCCTCGAGTGTTGTGGGCGCTGACAGCCCACCCACAAAGATTTTCTTCGTTCGCGTCACCATCTGTAAATGAGGAAAATTAAAGGGTTAATACAAATCCATATATGGTCATAAAATTAAAGCAAAATAAGAAAACGAATGTTGCATCCTAAGAAATCAATTCTGTAATAAGGTAATTTTTTTATTGTTACTTGAATTCGATAATCGTAGATCCGACTGCCTTAAACCATCTTTAGAAATAGGGAATGCAAATATAATTATCGGTATATTGTAACCAGAAAACCCCTACCCAGAGTATAGGGTTGACAATATTGAATTTAGTCTCCAAATAGCTGTGGCAAAATGGAAGCAGTTACAGCCTAAATATGAAATCTTCATCTTCCTCATCGTATTCGAACTAACCTTCGTACTCATATTTGTCTTCATAAATGCCTCCGTATTTGTATTACTTTTTATCTTATTACATTAAACGAGCAATTCTTGTATATATATGTATATATATGTATATATATATATATATATATATATATATATCCATAGGGTTCTCGGAAACGGCTCTAACGATTTTGGTGAAAGATTGTACACAGATAATGTTTTGGATTTTAAGGTTATCTGATTAGGCAATATCTCCGAGAAGACTCGTATAAGGTTGCCACCTATTCGAAATTAGTTACAAATTAATTAAGACATCATAATATGTGTATCAAATGGAAGATATTTTAAAGATCCCTAATTCAAAAATATTTTAAATAAGGTTGCTACTAATTTTGAATCGCATATTTATTTAATTTTTTGTTTAGAAAAAAAGGTAAAATATTACTATTCCTGGGTACCAAGAGAAGGTCCTTAGACAATGCTTTCCCTATACCACTTATTTTCGATTCTATACAATTTATCTAAAACATCGCAATATGGATATCAAATGAAAGGTATTGTTGAGAACTTTGGCCAGAAAATATTTTCCATCAGGATTGCCACGCTTCCTTGTAATACAAATTTTTATTTTGTTAATCTCAATAAAAATTTTGTATATATATATGTACATAGTACACATACACCTTCAAGATATGTACCATTCATTCCAGCGTATTTCGGAATAGGGTTGCCACCAAAATTTTGGAGTAAGGAATTTACTTAATAGATATGGAAATCCTATTTCTTTTTTTGTTTATTTCCAAAATATTTGTTTAAAGCTATCCAAATCTTGAAAACTTTAAAAAGTATATGCACTCCGGGCAAAGCTCGGTCAACCTGGTACTGTACTTATAAGTCATCGTATTTGTCTTCGTATTCGCATTTACATTCGTATATGTATTCTTCGTATTTGTCTTTTTACTCGTCCTTGCATTCTGGTTCATCTTGGTAACATGACAGATTTTCTCGAAGAAGTTATCAATCAGAACAAATGCCCTTTATAGACATAAAACTCTGTTCTATTGTTTTTAACTGTCTTCCTAATACTAATAATTTACCCTTGACTTAAAAAATCTTTAAACATAAATTTGGAATCGATCAAGAAGTTCCGACCAGGGCCGTAGAGAGGAAATCCGGACCCGGGGATAATCTCGGTTGTGGGCCTCAACCCTCCCCCGTACAATTTATTTTTCTGGTGTAACATTTAGATGAAAAAAATAATGATAAGAATATATACTGCCGTCCAAAGTAGGAAAGTGGTTAGCGACATAGGAATCTCAATGCAATTGCGGCTTTTGTGATTTAGATGGCAGCATATTGAACATGTTGTGCCTGAACCGGGCAAAATGGCGAAACAATTTATCCAAAATCGGTCACTGCCCGATTGAAAATACGTAGAATTTAAAATTAGGAGCTGCTCCTTTTTTCGAAATTTTGATTCTGGACTCCTTCTTCGAGAGTAATTTTACTTCCACAAGATCCGCAAACTTTTTTTCTATTCTCCTGATTGGAACACTTCTTTTTCGGGTGAGTCATCTTTTAATGTGACGTGAAAACAATTTAAATATGAATAAATTCGCAGAAAATTGCTTCACACTGAAAAAAAAACGGTAAATTGTACAGTCAATATAGCACTTAAGGTGGAAAAAATTGTACACAGGATAAAAATGGTACCATGCTCTCCAGAAAACTATTATAAGCAAAATAAGAAAATTTTATATCTCTCAATTTGAGAGAAAATATTTTTAATTAATTTAACTACTACTACTAGCACTGATACACAAATGGCAAAATATTGAAACTTTACTCCTACAAGGATTACTTCGTGGTGATTTCGAAAATGAAATCGGTTTTTTGAAAAGGCTACCAATTAAGAAAAACCCATGTTTTAGGACCAGTTACCAATTTTAGTTCATTATGGTTATTTCAAAAATGAAATCGCTTCTTTGTACTGGTTACTAATTTCGAAAAATCCAATTTTTTAAAAGGCAGAATGCTCCCGTGTAAAGAGCAAAAACGAATTTAATAATTTATTAATGGTGTTTTTCATATTTAATCATTAAAAATTGGTTATTTGTCACTCCCACTATTTTTGGATTCTTAGAATCTCAAAAATCATTCAACGAATCTCTTCATAATGTTAGTAAACATTTGGTTCATGGTATTACTACGAAGAGTGTTGAAAAAGTTGGAAATCGGTTCATAACAACGCCCACTTCCCATAATTCAGCATTTTTCAAAAAATGAAAACTGTAATATTTCAAATAATTACTACTCCGCTTTTTTAATAAATTGGCAACCGGTACTCGAATTTCGGATTTTTCGAAGTTAGTAACCGGTACAAAAAAACGATTTAATTTTTAAATAATCATAACAAAAGAAATGTGAGTGATCACTCCGATTTTCGATTTCGATTCGTTTTGGCTGTTACAAACAACCGTTATGTGAACAAAGTTATAATAACCTTGTGCACAAGTGCGCTCCGTTATAAAAAGTCCTGGAAGATTGTGCTATTGAAAAAAAAGTGTTTGCCAAAATCAATTTTTGCTGTTCAATAGTCGACCATAACTGCTTTTGGGATCAAGGTAGAGAGATGATATTTAAGCCTAAGTGGAAGGTTCTATCACTTTTTATTTTGATTGCGCTAAATACTCAAATTTCGTCAAAATCAGTTTTTGCTATCCCATAAATGAATATAAGTGACCAACAGATCAAGGTCCACGGATGGTATTTTCAGAGATAATAGTTGAGAGTTCTAGCCTTAATTTAAGCCTAAGTGGAAAAATAGACAGCCCAACCTTTTCACGTTCTATAAGATTTATGCTTTCAATTGGTATATGTATGTAATTTGTTCATTCAACAAATGATTGCAAAATTTAAAAAAAAATAATAATTTTTGAATATTTAATTAAAAATATCCTGGCCAGAATTTTTTCAGCCAACCCACATGCGAATTTACTAACGCGTTAAATTTCATACAAAATAGATATCATCCATCACACAGATGGATGAAGGTCGTGCCCTATTCGGATCTTCTACTATATATATAAAAATATATATATACTTTTTTAATTCATATCCACTTCGCACAGTTTAGTGCCCCAAGAAAAGAAAAGAGGTTGATTTCCAAGAGTTCAACTGAACTAATAAATTGCTCGAAATTAAATAATATTTCACTTGTTTTATGTGTATACAATTTTTTAGTATTATATTACATCATTATGACAATCTATAATTTGTATGCAAAACATCTTGAAATATTCTGTGCAGTCTGAGAACGGGGCCTCTTGGGAACTCTGGGGCCGGGGGAAAAAAAAACTTAAGATAATGCATTGTCTAAGATAAGTTATGTAACACCTCGTGATATTTCCTCATATACCTATGTATAATAATAGCGTCAGTGCCTGGACAGAATATAAAACTGGAATAACATTTCTTTGACAACCTTTTTCCTACTCCCAAATTTGATAGAGTTATAATATTGTATAAGATACTCGTACTCGTACAATAAATTCGGTATTTTTAATGTATTTCTTTTTTTAACAGACTTCAAAAAAAGGAGATGGTTATCAATTCGTCCGAATATTTTTATTTTAGTTTTTTTTTATGTGGGTTACCGCATACCTTTTGACCACGTCAACCGATTTCGATAATTCTATCGGAAAGATAGTGTATCCGAGGTGGTCCCACACTAATTTGAATTAGATCCGATCATTGGATCATGAAAAAAGTAATGTACTCCTAAATTTATATATATGAAAATTGAAGTCGGTTGTGTTTTTTGCTTAAAAATTACTCGTTGAAATATAAACTATGTTTGTTCGTTGAATTGTATGAAGTTGAAAGTTAAAATCAGTACCATGATTGAATATTAAAACTTTGTACAATTTTAAGGAAGATCTTCTTCATCAACTTACACTCAATGCCTTCAACTACGACTTACAAACACACCCATTATACAAATATGCCAACGAACATTTCAGTGTTATAGAGGGCGTATTTCGGCGAGTAAAGTACGCGTTGTGCTGTGCCAGCAATAAAATTCATGCAATGTCGTAAAATTAAAACACTTCAACATCTAACGAACGAGTAGGCTTCTATGTACTTACTCGCACAAGCATGCACATGCAACAAACGCAGCATCTGCGAGGCTTGCAGTGAAGAGAGCACTGCTATGTTTGGCATGGCGAAACAGCAATAACAACGTCAGCGACACCATTTGCAGTAACATCTCTGCACACAGTCGGCTAAACCACAAAAGGAAACATACAGAGGTCCGCCCTTTTCCACTGTTTCCACTGTACCAAGTAGACAGTGTCAAGTGCAAATGTTGCTGCACAACGAAATAGCGAGCCTAGTGAAGGCAAACCACTCCTACATAAATAGATGAACGTGTGTTGCCGAGTTGATTCGAAGCGCCCGTGGTCACAGCTTGCTGGTGATGAGACGTTACTGTTATCTCCTACAACTCCCGCCGCAAGCCCCGAGAATTAGGAAGGCTTGCATCAGTCGTCCAACACATTCGCAAAGGCTGCTGGCTGGATGCATGGTCACCCACTGCCGCTCCGGCCCACATCAGTACGAAACCCATTGCAAGTAGTAATATTTTGCTTGTTATGTGGTAGTATGGCTTGCTGGCTCTTATTGAA